TTTCAATGTCACAAAATAAACGATACATGTTCTTGCCAACTAACATTGTCGATCCAAGAACTGCCCGAAAAGTAACACTGATTTACAGATAAGAAACGAACCGGTGATTTTCATCCACGGTAATGGAGATGCTGCCTTGCATGCACAAGCACCGCTAGCAACCGGATGGAGCAGGTAATAACTCTAAAGGCTTCGAATTAGCTTTTCTAAAGTTTTATTATCATTTGAAACATTCAGTAGCGCTTAAGCCAATAATAAGGGGCTGTAAATGGAGCATAAAGAATAAAATTTTGAAAAATGTTTCAAAAACCTCCAGCCAAGAAAAACCCAAGTTCTCTTATGGTCAACTGCAACACAGCTTTAAACCTTTGAGAATACCAGGTCTCGAAGAGAAAAAGTACATATATTCGAATCTATAACGCAACCTAATGAGCGTCTTTTTCGAGCTTGAAAAATAAGCGAGTAATCAATCTTAACGATACGAATAATCGATAATATTTATGGACGATTTCCTACTTCAGGTCAATTCAATACTTTATGGAGCAAAATTATACGGAAGGAGAGTTGTACGCTACAACATGGGGAGATGCTTGGGGTACAGGATCAATCCTGGACAGTTACAGCACTATGCACACATGCAGTAATTTGCTGTTTTTAAGAAGGTTTGCGTTTTGAGAAACTTCCTAAAAATATGTCAAATAATGAATTTGACGGGTGATACTAAGCTTCAGGTAAGCGTTATGGATAAAAACTTCTTAGATATGAAAGTATAAACCGCATGCGAAAGTAGGATGCACGCAAGCGCCAAGTATAGCTTGCGCTTGCACGGCAGCAGAAACTTCCAGAACGCGCCTCACCCAAGTAGCGCAACAATCGATTTGCCGCAACAAAACGGTCCAACTGTTTCCGATTTGCTGCGGCGCCGCAGCGCTCAACGACAACTTCAACCATGGGCGCAACCCACAAGCGCGTAAACGTCCAGCGAGTTTTCCACGCGGGAATCTTTGAGTGAACCTTGCATGAAACGACCAAATTGAGTATACGCGCGCGCAGTAAAACGAATATTCTACAAAGCATTTTTGCGACACTACATTCACGTGCGCGCCCTCGTCTCCCAGGCGCAATTTAGAAAATTTGAACTAGAATAATTCTAGCCTTCAAATATAAACATGGCGTTAGTCTATGTTCTCTGATCTAAAAATTCAAAATTTCGGTTCCCTAAATTCGCTCAGGAGATTATTTGCCATGCTGACTTATTCTAATTCGCATGGTGGCGCCTCTTTGTATAGGTACGGTAAGGGCACGGTAGGAGACAATCACGAGAATCTTCCCCTGATATGGTTATTTGGCATGCTGTTACAGATATCATATCCGTTCCACATAAAAGCGAAATAATGTGGAGATATGGTAGAAGCATGACGA